GTTGATGGGGAGGTGTACACAGCTGTATGGTGGGTGTATGGTTGATAGGGGTGTACACAGTTGTATGGTGGGGATTGTTGATGGGGTGTGCACAGCTGTATGGTGGGGATGGTTGATGGGGGTGTACACAGCTGTATGGTGGGGATGGTTGATGGGGTGTACACAGCTGTATGGGTGGGTATGGTTGATGGGGGTGTGTACACAGCTGTATGGTGGGTATGGTTGTTGTTGGGGTGTACACAGCTGTATGGTGGGGATGGTTGATGGGGGGTGTACACAGCTGTGTGGTGGGGATGGTTGATGGGGGTTTACACAGCTGGGTGTACACAGCTGTGTGGGTGAGGGATGGTTGTTGAGGTGTACACAGCTGTATGGTGGGGATGGTTGATGGGGGTGTGTACACAGCTGTATGGTGGGGATGGTTGATGGGGGTGTGTACACAGCTGTATGGTGGGGATGGTTGATGGGGATGTATACAGCTGTGTGGTGGGGATGGTTGATGGGGGTGTACACAGCTGTGTGGTGGGGATGGTTAATGGGGGTGTACACAGCTGTATGGTGGGGATGGTTCAAGGGGTGTACACAGCTGTATGATGGGGATGGTTGTTGGGGGTGTACACAGCTGTATAGTGGGTATGGTTGATGGGGGTGTACACAGCTGTATGGTGGGTATGGTTGTTGGGGGGTGTACACAGCTGTGTGGTGGGGGATGGTTGACAGGTGTGTGTACACAGCTGTGTGAAGTGAGGGATGGTTGATGGGGGTGTACACAGCTGTATGGTGGGTATGGTTGTTTAAGGGTGTACACAGCTGTATGGTGGGGATGATTGATGGGGGTGTACACAGCTGTGTGGTGGGGATGGTTGATGTGGGTGTATACAGCTGTATGGTGGGGATGGTTGATGGGGGGTGTGTACACAGCTGTATGGTGGGGATGGTTGATGGGGGTGTACACAGCTGTATAGGTGGGTATGGTTGTTGGGGTGTACACAGCTGTGTGGTGGGAGCTGGTTGATGGGGGGTGTACTAAGCTGAGGTGTACACAGCTGTGTTTATGGGGATAGTTGATGGGGGTGTACACAGCTGTATGGTGGGGATGGTTGTTGGAGGTGTACATAGCTGTATGGTGGGGATGGTTGATGGGGGGTGGACACAGCTGTGTGGTGGGGATGGTTGATGTGGGTGTACACAGCTGTATGGTGGGGATGGTTGATGGGGTGTGTACACAGCTGTGTGGTGGGGATGGTTGATGGGGGTGTACACAGCTGTATGGTGGGGATGGTTGATGGGTGTGTACACAGCTGTATGGTGTAGGGATGGTTGATGGGGGTGTACACAGCTGTATGGTGGGGATGGTTGATTAGGGGGGTGTACACAGCTGTATGGTGGGGATGATTGTTGGGGGTGTACACAGCTGTATGGTGGGGATGGTTGATGGGGGTGTACACAGCTGAGGTGTACACAGCTGTGTGTGGTGGGGATGGTTGATGGGGATGTACACAGCTGTATGGTGGGGATGGTTGTTGGGGGTGTACACAGCTGTATGGTGGGGATGGTTGTTGGGGGGTGTACACAGCTGTGTGGTGGGGATGGTTGATGTGGAGTGTACACAGCTGTGTGGTGGGGATGGTTGATGGGGGGTGTACACAGCTGTGTGGTGGGGATAGTTGATGGGGGGTGTACACAGCTGCTGGTGGTGGGTATGGTTGATGGGGGTGTACACAGTTGTATGGTGGGGATTGTTGATGGGGAGTGTACACAGCTGTATGGTGGGGATGGTTGATGGGGGGTGTGTACACAGCTGTATGGTGGGGATGGTTGATGAGGGTGTACACAGCTGTATGGTGGGTATAGTTGATGGGGGTGTACACAGCTGTATGGTGGGTATGGTTGTTGGGGAGTGTACACAGCTGTATGGTGGGGATGGTTGATGGGGGGTGTACACAGCTGTATGGTGGGGATGGTTGATGGGGGTGTACACAGCTGTATGGTGGGGATGGTTGATGGGGTGTGTACACAGCTGTATGGTGGGGATGGTTGATGAGGGGGTGTACACACAGCTGTGTGGTGGGAGATGGTTAATGGGGGTGTACACAGCTGTGTGTGGTGGGGATGGTTGATGGTGAGTGAGGATGAAGTGGGTTTAACGTCGTGCATGAGAATATTTAAGCTCATATGGCCAGAGCGTGCATGCATGTGTATGTGTATGTGGCGGGCTGTTTGTACTGGCCCAGAGTGAAACTGATTTTAGGTAGTGCTAGCCCACTGAGATACCATGCCACAGTGAAGCATGAATACCCCTCTCAGACACATTATACTGACTCCGAGCCGACTAGTCCTTGTTGTACCCATTAATGCCCGGCGACAGGCAGGGACCAAAAATACCATATTTTAACGTCTTTTGGTATGGTATGGGTGGTGGGATCAGACCAGCGACCTTCCGCTCTCTCTAGCGTGGGCAGCTCTAATCCACCGCGACACCACTTGGGAGGCAGTCCAGGATGGTTGATAGGGGTGTGGTATACACAGCTGTAGGGTGGGGATGGTTGATGGGGTGGTGGATGTACACAGCTGTAGGGTGGGGATGGTTGATGGGGTGGTGGATGTACACAGCTGTAGGGTGGGGATGGTTGATGGGGTGGGTGGATGTACACAGCTGTAGGGTGGGGATGGTTGATGGGGTGGTGGATGTACACAGCTGTAGGGTGGGGATAGTTGATGGGGTGGTGGATGTACACAGCGGTAGGGTGGGAGATGGTTGATGGGGTGGTGGATGTACACACAGCTGTAGAATTAGGGATGGTTGATGGGGTGGTGGATGTACACAGCTGTAGGGTGGGGATGGTTGATGGTTTGGTGGATGTACACAGCTGTAGGGTGGGGATTGTTGATGGGGGTGGTGGATGTACACAGCTGTAGGGTGGGGATGGTTGATGGGGTGGTGGATGTACACAGCTGTAGAGTGGGGATGGTTGATGGGGGTGGTGGATGTACACAGCTGTAGGGTGGGATGGTTGATGAGGTGGTGGATGTACACAGCTGTAGAGGGTAGGGGATGATTGATTAGGGTGGTGGTGGATGAACACAGCTGTAGGTTGGGGATGGTTGATGTGGGTCATGGATGTACACAGCTGTATGGTGGTTGATGGGGGTGGTGGACTTACACAGCTATAGAGTGGGATGGTTGATGGGGGTGGTGGGTGTACACAGCTGTAGGGTGGGGATGGTTGATGGGGGGTGGTGGTGGATGTACACAGCGGTAGGTAGGGGATGGTTGATAGGGGTGGTGGATGTACACAGCTATAGAGTGGGGATGGTTGATGGGGGTGGTGGGTGTACACAGGTGTAGGGTGGGGATGGTTGATGGGGGTGGTGGGTGTACACAGCTGTATGGTGGGGATGGTTGATAGGGATGGTTGATGTACATGTCAAAATCTGTGTGAATGGTTGAAGTTGATGGATTTATACATGAAACTACCTATTTGATATTTTCTAAACACAGCGGTTTTGGTCGTTTATATGAAACTACACCACTTTGTTTTATGCATAGTTTTTGGTTAATTATTTTAATTTGTTAAGATCAATCTCAATTTTCCGTTTGATTTTAAGTACCCAAAACCCCTAACACTTTCCACAAAGTTTAAAATAAAAACAGGAATTGCGTCATCAGAATAAGAGAGAGATGTGGTTCCTTGTCGTTGTCAACAGATTATACAAAATCAGAAATTGAAATAGAAGTCAGATATCCCAGTATTGTTTCCTCAACTATGTTTCTTATGATACAGGAAACTGATACTTAACTTCTTTTTATCATTACTAGTTATTGGTTAAATAGAGAAAATAGAAATGCTTTTTGAGGCAGAATGTGAAAAATTCCATAAAGTGTATTATTAATTTATTTGTGGAAAACCTCCCTTAAGATTTAAGTTGATGTTCTATTGTTCATGACAGTGAGTGATGTCATAGGTGTTTTCCGGAAATAAAGGCAGTTCTCAGAAAGTATTATTATTTATGGCTTTAAACTATATAAACTGTGACAGCTGTAAGCTGTGAATTATTTCCACATATAAATGCGATGTGTTAGTGCTGGTGCTGTTATTATGGACTGGGCTACCTGTCAACGCTGCAAGTAACTGTACATTTGTTTCGAGTGACTGGTCAGAGTATTTGCTGTTTGTTGAACATGTTTTATGTGAGTTCAAGGTTCAGGCTGTACCAAGTATCTTGAATGTATAACAGTGATTTGTGTCTTAATATAAGTACTAGATTGGAAGGCCATGTGTTACTGTATTATAGTGCTTTGTGTCTTAATATGAGAATTAGATTGGAAGGCCATGTGTTACTGTATTATAGTGATTTGTGTCTTAATATAAGTACTTACTAGATTGGAAGGCCATGTGTTACTGTATTATAGTGCTTTGTGTCTTAATATAAGTTACTAGATTGGAAGGCCATGTGTCACTGTATTATAGTGCTTTTGTAGGTCTTAATATGAGGTACTAGATTGGAAGGCCATGTGTTACTGTATTATAGTGATTTGTGTCTTAATATAAGTACTAGATTGGAAGGCCATGTGTCACTGTATTATAGTGCTTTGTGTCTTAATATGAGAATTAGATTGGAAGGCCATGTGTCACTGTATTATAGTGCTTTTTGTCTTAATATAAGAATTAGATTGGAAGGCCATGTGTCACTGTATTATAGTGCTTTGTGTCTTAATATGAGAATTAGATTGGAAGGCCATGTGTCCACTGTATTATAGTGCTTTGTGTCTTAATATGAGAATTAGATTGGAAGGCCATGTGTCACTGTATTATAGTGATTTGTGTCTTAATATAAGTACTAGATTGGAAGGCCATGTGTCACTGTATTATAGTGCTTTGTGTCTTAATATGAGAATTAGATTGGAAGGTCATGTCAGGGCTTTGTGTCTTAATATAAATATCACATTGGGAGCTCATGTATAAATGTATTACAGTGTTCTGTTTTCCATGTTTCAGACTGTTAGGACTTCTTCCACAACCATGGGCAACAAATCTGGGAAGCGAGAGTATACTATTGATGATGACACTGCAAGCACAGTGTCATCGAGCTCACGAAAAGGTCACTTTATTAAACCAGTGGGGAAACAAGATATAGATATTCTAAAACAGTATGAACCCAGAGGGACGGAACAGTTTCCAAGAGGAACAGAACAAATCCCTGGAAGAATGGAACAGTTTCAAAGAGCAGATCAAGCTATCCGGCGAACAGAAGAAATTCCTGGAGGAACAACAGAGCAGTTTCTTAGGGGACCAGAACATCTTTCTAAAAGTCCAGAACATTTGCCTGGCATAACGACCCTAGTTCTAGGACAACAGCCTTTCCTCCAAGGATGGTGGAGCAGCTGTCTGGTTCTAAGATGGCAGAAAGTGGAGAAGCCTCCTCACAACTCAGTTCAGGGTATGTGTCCCAGAGTAGCTCTGGTGCATCATCTCAAGGAGTTGTTCCAACATCTTCACCCACCAAAGCTTCTCCGACAAGCCAAGCTCCGCCCACGGAACATAATAATCCACATGCAAATCATTTGGTAGCAAGGCGTAGCAAGTCTGTGGATCATACTTTAGATCCGCCGATGATGTCTCAACAAGCTATAGATGCATTTAACAAGGCCATGAATAAGACTTCTCCTATAAGCATTCCTGGTTTCAGTAGAAGACTTTCACAAGATGAGCTTGGACATAATCCTATGTTAAAATCTGTAGCTCACTTGAAAAACAGAGAATCTCCTAAACTACCTCCAAAGCACCATTCTCCGAAATCTTCACCGAAAATAACTCGGATCAATGTAACTGGACATATTGGGGCTGGTGGAATGCCCAGAAATTTCTCATCTCCAAAACTTTCGCGGCGTTTCACTAAACGACTTCCAGGACAACAGTTGAAACTGACAAAGTCCTTTGAAGATCTGCAGTTGATAATACCTGAAATGGACAACCCAACTCTCCCAAATGAAACCAGTAAGTATACAGTTGATTATTAGTGGACACGAACAAAAACAGAACTACAGACGTGTTTCCTCATTGGGGATTCCAGGCAAGAATAGGCCTTCAGCAACCTCTGTTAGTCAGATCATAGTGATTCTGCTATAGCATAGGTTCCCAGCAAACTCCTGGGGATTCTGCTATAGCATAGGTTCCCAGCAAACTCCTGGGGATTCTGCTATAGCATAGGTTCCCAGCAAACTCCTGGGATCCTGCTATAGCATAGGTTCCCAGCAAACTCCTGGGGATTCTGCTATAGCATAGGTTCCCAGCACACTCCTGGGGATTCTGCTATAGCATAGGTTCCCAGCAAACTCCTGGGATTCTGCTATAGCATAGGTTCCCAGCAAACTCCTGGGGATTCTGCTATAGCATAGGTTCCCAGCAAACTCCTGGGATTCTGCTATAGCATAGGATCCCAGCAAACTCCTGGGGATTTTGATGTAGCATATATAGGCCCCTATCAAACTCCTGTTTGTTGTATGATGGGATTCTGGTTAAAAATAGGCCCCACAAACTCTTTTGGTTGTATTGTGGGCTTTATGGAATATAGGTCCTAGAATCCTATGTTGATCATTGTAGTGGAAATGATCCAACCTACGCAGCCTTCGAGGCTTCCACAGTAGAATCATCAGTGGATGAGTGGGTTACATCACTGACTTTGCATGCTGAAGTTAGGAGCCTCAGTCTAAGAGTCTGGGTTCAAACCCTGGATGGGACTGAACCCTCAAGAGTAGTAGAACTTATGCTTTACTTCGTGTAATTCCAAATATAAGTTTAAGGTTTGTTGTTTACTATTAGCTCTGTTAGGTTGAAACAAGAACAAAGTTGTTTCACTCAGTCAATGAGTCAGAGTGTACGCATTCTGTACAGGGTGGTTGACATGTAGCCGCTTACTTTCGGGGAACATGTACATGTATGCACTTCAGGTACAGAGAGCTCTTGTGGTCTGGGGCGGTGGGGTAGCCTAATGGTTAAAAGCGTTGGCTCGTCACACGAAGACCGGGTTCGAATCCCACATGGGCACAATGTGTGAAGCCCATTTCTGGTGTCCCCATGCGTGATGTTGCTGGAATATTGCTAAAGCGTAAAACTAAACTCAGTCAGTCAGTCACTCTTGTGGTCTGTATAGGAGGCAGTTGCCAAAAACTAATCATGTCCTCTGAACCTGATTGATAACTATTCCTTGAAAAGTAAACAGGTTTTCTTTGTAGCCCTTATCCCAAATAGATCAGAATTTAAACTGTTTTAAAATTAATTTCTTTATAGCACTGGGCTCTGACAGGTTGATCCTTAAAATAAAAAAGTTACATGTCTCACCTTCTGTAAAATGCATGATTAAAAGTGATCAGGGGGCACAAGGCTGGTGATTGCCTGTATACAGGAAACAGTGACCTCAGCCTCAAGGAGTATCATGGTTGAATTGTCAAGGTACATATGATTTTGTGACATTATGAGGACCAAAGAATACTGCTGGAGGTTAAATATTGAAGGCCTACATTTTGGTCACATCTGTAATCTATTTGCTGAAAAGAAACACAGAACTATTCAATGCTTTCATCTGACAGCTGTTTCACTTTGTCGTAATTTTTAAATTTTAGGAACTTTTAGTTAAAATATGGGGAATAATGATTAATTGGAACAGTGTTAAACAGGTTAAGTATATTAAGGCTGACATGATCAATGTTGTGAAACCTAATTGTAGAACAACTGTGAATAATGGTGTGTTCTGTTGATTAGAGTCTTAAATTCACTGAAATATATGTAAATAATACTTAGTTAAATTGTATGCATACTAAATGATATAATGCACACATTTTATAACATGTTAGTGTAATGACAGGATTGTCTTGTGTACTACAGTGCAGATTTGTCTTTCAGAGAATCGTACTCACTGCTATATCTTTGCATAGGAGAGAGAACAAAACAAACCCACTGTCACTGAGGCATGTAACACATGCATCCGACTGTACACCATGATACTTCATTGGGAAGACATATGAATCATACACAAGAAAATACAGTAATATTTTGTTTAATTTGCACAAATCTTCTGACCAGGTATTGGTTTGGCCTCTCTTCAGTTCCTGTTCTGATCGAAAAATGTTTTTTACAGCGGTTGACTAGGCCCGTGTCAAATTTTTATGTATTCTGTACCATATCTCACATTACTATCATGATCGGATCGGATTTTCACATGCCTACAAATATTGCAACTGTCATTGTTGCCCATTACTCATCATCATGCTATGCAACAAGTATTTGATCTGCAAAGTAACATACACTACATATTGTTTTCAGATTTTGAATTTTGACTCGACTCTGGTCTTTGACCTTCCATTACTAGTGTAGTTGGATTTACTGCATACAAATATTTCCTTTGAAATCTCCATGGTTTATGTGATTACTCATGTCAGTATTGGTGTGATTGTGATATAAGTGCTACATATACCTCAATGCCAATGAACCGGAAAAATATATGGGGCACAATGCTTGTATCATAAGCACATTTAAGCACATACACAGAAACTTCACAAATGATTGTCATATCAGCAAGGAATGCTATAAGTTGGTTGTACTGATGTGTGATATAGTTTGGACATTGTTAACAGGTTAATTAGTAAGCTGGTTAACTTGTTTTACTCGTAGTCTCTTAACCCCAAACTAATTTACAGCGCAAGCTAATGTATTTTTATACTTAGCATAACGTTTTGAAACTCAGTGCCTTGTTTATATGCCATATTGCATCTATTTATTCATGGAGCCATTATCACTGACAAATGTCTTTCAGCATTCTCTGTTAATTACAAGTGTTTTATTAATTCTGATTTATTTTTATATTTTTTACAGGTAGTGAGAAGCTCATTATTTGGTTATAGATTATTCAATAAATTATGCAATATTCTTAAATTAGTTCATGATCAACAATACTTCAGTTAAGCAGCATTTTAAACACTGCTGCAATACAAATTAGACTTCTACTATGCATGTTGGTATTTTATATACCCATATTCATTCATTAACATCTGGGGTGATTGGGGTAGCCCTATTGGTTAAAAGCATTGGCTCGTCAAGCCGAAGACCGGGTTCGAATCCCCACATGGGTACAATGTGTGAAGCCCATTTCTGGTGTTCCCCGCCGTGATGTTGCTGGAATATTGCTAAACGTGGCGTAAAACCAAACTCAGTCAGTCAGTCAGTCATTAACATCTTATAGCTCACAAACCTCACAATAGTTTAAGATGAAATGGTATGTTTACTCAGTAAAGGTTTCCTGCATTAATCAATTGCATAGATAGTTGCTCATGATGTTCATCACTGGATTGTCTGGTCAGGCGGGATTATTTACAGTCTGCCACCATATAGCTGGAATATTGCTAAGTGCAGCATAAAATAAAACTACTCACTTCTGTGTAAATATATTATTATAATAGAAATTAAAGATCTCCATTTTGAATGTGGAAGGGAGACACATTAAAGAAGATTGTGATGAATCTATAACTTTTGTTTAGGTATAGGATTAATCTTTAGAGTATGGAGTGGGAGATGTTAAAATAGTAATAGGTCAAGGACTGTACCTGCAAATCAACATGGGCATACTCTGCATGACATCTTAACTGACATGTTCATCCCCACTATGAAGTATCTTAAAACATCTCACACTCTGATCAATTTTATACATGGGAATCAGGGCAGAAACTTTCAAATGTATATAATTAAAATAATATTTTGTTTTAGTTCCTGAGAGATTGTCCATGGCATGATGGTCATGCTAACTACCACTGATTTGCATGGCACACAATTGTTTTCAGGTAGTCTGTCTCACAGTCCCTGAACCATTATTATTTCCTACTGCCAAGCCCTCTCTGCAGTGCTCAAGCCCTAAATAAAGCAAGTCTTGGGATTTCCTCAGGTTCAGATTCTGTGAATCTCTGTGATCTCCCTGGGGGCTCCTTTTTCAAATTTAAATGGGCTTGTTTGTTACTATCAAAATTATATATATTCCAGAGACTAAGCATTAGTCTATTTCCAGAGTGCTGTGAGTGATTGTAGCTTGAATATTGATGATTGTGGTCACCAACAAATAGTTGATAAAATATCAGTCATCGGAGTTGCTCCAGTATGGTACCTCAGTGTGTAGGTGATCATGTTGATGTTTATAAACTAGTGATCGGAATTCTTTCAGAATTGATCGAAGAAGAATTGGTCTTCAACAACCCATGCTTGAGGCGACTAGCATGATCTGGGGTGTGAGGCTCGTTGACTTGAGTCGATGCATGTCATTTGTATCCCAGTCATGATGATCTCAGATCGATGCTCATGATGTTGACCACTTTGGATTGTCTGGTCAGATTCGGTTGTTACAGACTCGGTCAGACATGAATGGAAGCAAATGATAAAGTCTTGATATGAGTGAGCAAGGCAATCAGATCACTATATATCTCATTTCTGTATCTCAAAATTTAATGAAAACAACTAGTTCAGTTTGTTGACAAAGAAAGCACAACAATTATTTTGTTGTTATTTTTATGCACATTGTTGTTTTCACTGGAGTGCTTTGACAACTTCACCCAAAGAGATCACTAGAGAATGAATAGTAGCGTGTTCTATGTAGGTTTCTTTTAGTATGCCAAAACATTTCCAAATACAAGGTGATACAAAATGATGCTGAATTGTTTCAAAAGCTGACATCTGACCCTCAGGACCCATCCATCCTTTGTGTGAGATTGGGTATTATCTAGGGTTTCTATAGGCGTGTCCTCAGATCTGGTCTAATGAGCCTGTATGTACCATCAACTGACATATGCGCTTCATATTTGTTCTTTCAGAGCCTGTTATCTTCCACAGCAATGTATGCGACTTTGGGGCAATTAGCGAGGATGGCTTGTCTTTTGTGAAGGAGACAGACTCAGGAAGGTTAACACCAGGTCAGTACTGACAGGTACTTCTTTCAACATTTCAACCATATGTCTGATTACACTCGAGATCACCATTTGTTATCGTTTTGGGCATAGTCTCCTCCTTACATTTATGTTCTGAATTTATCAAGCTCTATAAATGAAGGTATTATTGTCATTGTTACTTTCGACAAAACATGTATCATCAGTAAGAAGAGCCTGTTTCTATAAATGGTTTCTGTCATAATACTTGAATATTATTTTCCTTGGATACGGTATCCCTTATATAGCTGTAGGCATTATAACTCAGTTGTGCACTATATGAAATAATCCTGTGGACCATTGGTGGATGCAGGGCTGGGGTGATGGACTGAAAGTACATGTTAACTGACCATTGAAGATCGGGTTAGGGAATTGTTCTTCTGCAACATGTCATTGTATCCCAATTGTGTGAATCGGTGCTCATGATGTTAATCACTGGATTGTCTGGAGACTTTATTATTTACAGACCGCTGCCATATAAGCTGGAATATTGCTGAGTGTGGCGTTAAACAACAACCAAACTAAAATTAAATAAAGAAAACATGCTTACTGCTCCAGTCACATTATGTCTTAGATGATTTAACCTATGTATATTATATAAATTCTGGTTCCGCCACTTGCAGGGACACCTGTACAGAATGTGTATGCTAAATGTTTTATTTATTGTTTTGTGATGATTATTCTCTGTTAAATGAATATTGCCTATTGTTTTGTTTAATTATTTGTTTTAGGAATTTGCTGACCTAACCCTTTAATGAATAACATCAAAATTTAGATAAAAGTCTAAGATAAACAGTCTTCTTCATGAAGAGAGTCTGTTAACTATTTCAGTTAAGAAACAGGGTGAAAGTATATATTTTTTATTGACCACTGTCTACAATAGAAGTAATTTTACACTGTATCATAAATATGTACAAGTGGATTATTTCTGTTTTGCAGTGACACTGCTGATTGGGTTGATCTGCACCAGCCTGACCAATGGGAAGAGAGGATACATCCCTGTCAACTATGTGAAGGTGGATGATAACTCCCCTCAGGCCCAGGAGTAGTTCATCTCCCTTTGAGTCTGTGACTTGAACCATGAGTCTCAAGCCTGAGTCTAGTAGATTCTGTTTGGATAAGAAATGCTTGCTGAAGGGTCGTTGTCAGCACAAACTACAGATATGTATTTAGATATGTACAGAAATGTATGTAAACAAAAGTCCAAAGTATGAAGCGTGCATCTAAATGCTAAAAAGTCGGATGAGAGCATATTCCACTAAAACCCAGTACCAAACCGTATGTAGTTGTTCCTATGCTGATTGTAGACTGACTGGACTGACTGAGTTTGGTTTTTTTACGCCGCTTTAGCAATATTCCAGCAACATATCCAACCAGAAATGGCTTCACTCATTGTACCCATGTGGGGATTCGAACCCGGGTCTTCGGTGTGACGAGCCAACGCTTTAACCACTAGACTACCCCACCGCCCCTTCAGCTGATTGTGAGTGCTGTTGACTGCACCTGCGAAAAAGGACCCATCATAGGGAACATTTTTGTATTCCTATATTGGCTAGGGTACGTTTCTGTATACAGAAACGTACATGGAGTACACATCTGTCGTACCCATGCCAACGACAACCCCTTCAGCATAAGTAACCGCAGCTAATTACAGTACATGTGATAAAACTTGACACTACTAAAAATGATGCTGACTCGTCTCAGATGTTTTTGGCTAAAATGGCAATTTTCTACTTCAAGATAAAACTGTTTTCATAGATTCAACAATGTGAATTTCTATTTTATTCAATTAGATACCAATAATGATGTTGTGAATTTGAAATTTGAATCTCCATTCTATCATGCCAAAATATATGAAACCTTTAAGATGAAAAGGAAGGAAGAGGCATTGGTTGAGTCATTTGGTTGAATGGTTAAATCTTGGGATCAATAATTGATGCTGTCAATCCCTAAATATCACCATAATGCTTAGATCACTTTTCCGCACCTTATCTGCATCGCTCTACCTCATTCATACCACAAACTCCCCAGAAATAGATGACCCAATCCCAATGCTAGGGTTCTTCCTGCTGTGTGAAGGAAGGAAGGATGTGAATCTACCTGTTAGTCTGAAACTGACTCGAATAAAACCCCCTGCACTGTGAATATGACACCCCTGGTGAAAATGTTTCCTGTTTAGATTGTTTGACAGAAGTTGCACTTTCACATCTATTAGAATACTAGTTGTGAATATCCACAAATGACTGGATGCCACTAATTACATACATCATACATACTAACATTTGTATAGCGCCGATATCCAGCTCAGCTCAGCTGCTCAAAGGCGCTTTGTTTTTCCCTCGTTCACTGGATGTCAATCTCAACGGCATATTGTATTGTCAATCTCAACTCCCTGGGGAGCATACAACTCTTGCATCCACTAGGCGCACCGAGTTATTGTGGCATTCCCATCCTTACGAGGTGTTGGGACATGTTCCCCAAGTGGTTGGTTGGTTTGTTGTGTAACGCCGCTCTCAGCAATATTCCAGCTATATGGCGGTGGTCTGTAAATATTCAATCCAGTGATCAACAGACATCGATCTACACATCTGGGATACGATGACATGTGTCAACCGAGACACCGAGTCTGACCACCCAATCCTGTTAGTCACTCCTTACGACAAGCATGGGTTACTGAAGATCAATATTCTAACCTGGATCTTTACGGGACATGTTCCCCAAGTGCCTCATGGTGATACTGTGTTGCTGACTCAGTGACGACATTAGCTTCTTTAATGATATAATTCCAACAGGGTTATCGTCTGGCTATGGTGCATCATGAATTGGTTCTTATGTATAGACTTGCACTCTCTTTAAGGGCATTACAGATTTTTATACAGCATAGGCAAAGCACGCACTATGAATGCAAAGGATGCAAAATCAGTAGTTGATGCCAGGACACAGTATTCAACTTAATAGAATCAAATGGTCCGACATTGACTCGTTACAACTGCAGGGTTATAGCGAAGAATAACATCCAACTAAAACATTGGACATAATACAACACCACTCTGATATGGATGTGCAACTTCTTTGTTATTTACACACCGACGCTTCTGGGCTACTACTTCAGTTCCCCTTCAGTAGGTGAATGACAGAGAATAGTTACAGAGAGGTATTACCCTACCAACTTCTAAATGCCTATCAAACATCCGATTGTTTGCATATTGTACCCAGCGTGACATATAAGCCCTAAATCTTTGTGTGCCATCTGTTCTCATTTACATTTATTGCCCTAATTCACCTGTGTTATGATGATATGGTCTAATTTGTCGACTGTGATATATGTATGATTAACCTGTTTTTATTCATCAAACATTGTCCGTGGATACGATATGTGCTTAAGTTTGAATCCCATCCATTTGTCCACCGCCGTCACCTTGTGAAACTGCGGATATGGTTAACTTTTAGCAATTTGGTCATTTCATCAAATATCTGACCTTGTGGGGATTGTGACTTTAACCACTGGGCTGCCTCACTACACAAAGAAGAAGGATGCTCTGGCTAGCTGCTATTTTCTGTTGCCAAGGTTACATAGAGCTGTCCCCATATCTTGCTGTGTGTTTATTTGTATTCAAAGTTATAAATCTTTATGAATACTGACTGACTGAGTTTGGTTTTGGCGCCGCTTTAGCAATATTCCAGCAACATCCGCGGTGGGGGACACCAGAAATAGGCTTCACACATTGTATCCATGTCATGGGAGTTGAACCGGGTCTTCGATGTGAATGACTGACAACGCTTTAACCACTAGGCTACCCACCGCCCTTTATGAATACATTGTGAAAGGAATTAATAGATAAAATATGTTTTATGCAGCAGTCAGCAATATCCTAGCTATTTAGGGACTATGAGCAGTGAGGATTATGGATTATCTGTCCAGAGTGATGGAATGATGTTAATCTCAATCCATGGCGAGCATCTGACAGCAGGACTTGTTGGTTACAAGTCACTGATGTTTGTAGAGTGAACATGAAGAGAATTGTATAAAATGTCAACCCTACACACAGACTTAATGTGGCCTGTTGTTCAGATGGTAACAATTAGGGACATTGGAACATCATGGATGTCAACCCAAATGTTAAAAAGAACAAAGCATTGTACATATTTGGTCTCCATTTGACCAATCAGCATTGAGAATCACTAAAATTCATGTGCAAATATCAGAGAGTTATTACACATATTATCTTTCTGTCAGTACAATGGATTGAATGTCAAGTGTCCCTTTTTTGTTGTGTCACAACACCCCGGATCATGGCCATTGTTCAAATGTTACTGGCGACAATGGGCCATGGTTAATCATTTGTTCCTGGTGAAATTATTAGTCTCTATTGTCTTGACTGTCAAAGTATAACGTAATGTTCCTTTGGGTGGGTCATATAGATACATTTCCAACAAGATCATCCAGAAGGCAGGGTGTTTGTACAAATGAGGTGTTACTGTGCATTGTGGGACTGTACTGTACCTGCATGATTTCTTGTCTGCCATGGTTCAAGTATTGGTGATGGTTTTCAGCTGGTGGTTTGACTGTAGCCGGCATGATGGGGAGGCGTGGCTGAAAAGGGAGGGCGTGATGACAGGCAGCTTCCTCGTTAGGGCTTCGGCAGGTGAGACACTACCCTACACACAAAGTGAGTGAGTGAGTGAGTGAGTGAGATTTTATGCTTCTTTCAGCAATATTCCCGTAATATGAGAGATGAGGACAGCTAAACTTGGCTTCCCGTTGTGTGTGCAAGTGAAGCCACACACTGGCGTGACAAGCTAACACTTCAACCACAATGTTTCGCAACTGCCTGGGAAGTGTTTGAACACATTATAGGAATATTTCTGTAGTTGTGTTCCATTCTTCTAAGGTGCCGCTATGTACTGTACAGAGTGGAGTCCTTTAGGTGGGCCAGCGATCATACCATGGGGACATCTGTATTGAGATTCATCGATCTGACCCACATTGTGTATTTACTAGATCATCATAGAGCTTTTGTTGTGGTAGGTGAACACTCGGATAGCCACTAGGCTGTGACTGAGAGACTGAGCAAGTGAGTTAAAACTTGACATGTCATTGGGGATATTTCTGCCATTTTAGTAAGTACATTTTCAGGACTTCATGCTAACTTTGGAGATGAGCTTATGGTAATAGAAATATATAATCTAAAGTGCTTGTCATTTTCAGACAAAAATTCCTATGCATTGTCTGTGCGGTGTCTATGAAGCAGACGGCAGAACACCGTCTATCCGACATACAAGATCGTAAATGCGACTGATGGGCAAGTATACATTGGAGTTAGAAAACTCTTCCCTGACGTCATCAAGCTTGTGGAACATTATCAGAGTGAGTGTCATTTGCATTGTCTTTGATCTTTGACTGATGCTCGGAGCATGTTCCAGTGGAAAAAACAGTGTTTGGAGTTGAACCTTGACCTGATTAGTATGTAGTATAGAAAACTTGTAAGCATCATCGGGCAGCCATCTTGGATTTCTAAATCAGGCAATCATCTTGAATTTGCTTTAATTGTAAGGTCACCATTCATAATGTACATGCCCTAGTGGGGGTGGTGGATGGGAGATTTTTATGGAGAAGCATGCATGTTCAATGGAAATGCCCCCCCAATTTATGTGCATAGTAATGACCCTCCCTGCATGTCATGTACAAAATCAACAATGCCCCCAAAAAAAAAATCATCATCACCCCTAGCCACATAAATTATGAACCGTCCCTAACTACCGCCATAATAGACCAATATGTAAGGCCTCCTTGATCCTGAGAACACATTTCACCAAGAGTGAATGCAAGTGAACAGTTCCGAAGAACAATGGGACTCTTGAGCTGAACCCAATTGTTCTCTCAAACATTTGGTTTTGTTTGAATTTTTAACCCCTGGATGCCACAGGGACATATATGTCCTTCCCCCTTCAACCCTCGAATTTGAAGTGGGAATAAAAGCTCAAAGTATCCCACGCATAAATACACTTCACAGTTTCTCAATTCTATGGAAATTTCCTGTTTCTTGATACCATCCACTATTATTTTAGACAAAGCTCAAGTGCTGAAAAATGACCTTCACAAAATAGGCTTCATCGAAATGGCTTACATTTTGGATACAGTATGAAATCGCTTATTCACAATGTGCGTATTTGCTGTATGTTTTGAAATGTGAAAATCGGATAATTACTGTGAGTATTGAATTTCAAAATAACATATTTACTTGATCACTGATATCGGTTTACATGGTTTCGCTTATTATAATTCTGAAAGCGTTGCCGGCGAATCTAGAATCGGTTGGGATGTTTTCGAAAATGCACTTACATCTAACACCGTGAGAGCCGCTTCGCCATATTGGATAGTGTTTACAAAATCACGCTTCGCTGAAGGCGGTGTATGGAGGCATATTATTACATCAATGTAGATTTCATATTCGGTTTAGAAAAATGCATCGCTGAATTCCCCATACATTTTAGAATCAATTTGAAACTGGTCTGTGTAACCAATAATAACTGTCTAGATAAAATGAGGCCGAGAACATGTTGGGTGTTGAAACGAGCAGCTATTAAGCTTGAAAGGCTAGCGTTTGTGTGAGAAATAAACAAAGACAAATTCGACTTACACTGCGTAGCATTTTCTGAAATTTTTCAGCATTCATCCGTCTATTCCATTTGCCTCCAATGGCTCATAATACCTTTAGAATATGCATGGAAAAGAGTATAAGTGGCAAGAAATAGGAAATTATAAATAGATACAATCCAATGATTTGATAATTCATAGAGAAATTGTCAAAGTTTCCGTTATGGCGATGACGCCATGACTGGCGCCAAATCAGAGCGACAGCGGTAGTGATACCATTTCTGATGTATATATGCGTGTAGTGGCAAATGAAGCATATAACAATACGCGAATGGTCAGAATCATTCACGATTTACTTGCATCTCAGAATTTATGTATAGCGATCCCTGAATCGGTGGGTCGCAAAATCCTGTGTGCCGCGCCGGCAAAGCGGCCGTCTTGTGAAATGGGTCGTGATGGTGATCATCGTCTTTACGGCTGACCATTCTTAAATAGCGACTGAAATTACGAAGATTTTCTTGATTCCACCGTTATTGCTCGTCGTAAACTCAGAATGATCTGACTATATTCATGACCGACCACCTAGTTTTCACTGCGTGAAAAGGTTAATACGAATACGGGCCAACCAGATGCGTGTTGGCGATCGTCTAATCGCCAAACGACAATTTCTTATGATGCTCAAATCATGAATATTATCTGACTTATAATTTCTATTTCTTCGCTACGATCTCTTTCATGTATATTCTAAGGTATTGACTGTTGAACGATATCGACGAAAAAATTTCGAAAAGAAGATGAATTTGTCTTTGTTTATTCACGCTTGTGCTCAACACAGCGTGGAACACCTTCATCGTTTAGTCTCATTTTTATCTGAACAGTTATTATTGATGACACGAACCAGTTCAAACGATTCTAAAGCTAATGAAATTCGTGATCACCGGCTTCAACTAATCCCGATGGGCGTCTCAACTCCAAACTAAGCAGCATGTTAAACATATCAATATGGCGGCATACCGTCATAGTACGTGCAACATAACGAACCATTTCATCGTGCAACATTCAATACCAATAGCGGAAATCATCTGAAACGTATGGTGATCACCAAATAACTGTTTGAAATTCAACACTTTCACGTATCCCGATTTTCACATTTCAAGCGTACGGCAAACTGCGCTGATAATCACTGTCGATAAGCGTATGGCTATTTTGGTCATTTTCAGCGCTAACGATAAATGATTGAATAATCAGGCGGCTTCCGCGAAATCAGCTGATGAATCACGGACTGTCACCGGTTGAAGGTTGCTATATACGACTCGGGATAAAATGAACTCTCGATGAGAACAGTGAGTTCGGCTTCAAATCCCGACCGAATTCGCTAACGATGATTGCTCGGATCAAAGACGCTACATATTGATTCTGTGATGAACGTTCATATTATATTTGGGGGTGATGACTGTTTTTTTTTTTGGGAGACGTGATTTTGTACATGGTCGTACTATGCGCCGGAGGGCGTTCGATGATTTCTTGCCACCCACTAGGCTGTAACCGAATATTGTTGCTATTCAAAGCGCAATTCAGATGATTACTGATTTAAGTCCAAAGATAACTTCTCCATGATGCTAATTTTCCCATACTATATAATCGAGTCGGGATTCAACTCAAACGTTTTCCACTGGGTGTCTCGACATCGATCAGATCAAGGAACAATGCAATATTTTCACTTCTGATAATGTTCCACGAAGCAGTCGAGAAAGGTGCTTTCAATATTGCGCCCGTCGATCGTTCGTATCTTCTGATACGGTGTTCTTACCGTCTGCTGAACACTTGCTGAGTATGCGTAGGGAAATTTTGTCTTGTACCACAGGTATTATATATTTCGCTGCCATAAACTCATCTCCAAAGTGCGTAGTCAAAATCGCTTGCTGATGACATCTGAACTCGCTAACCTCGGTCTTCATTTTAATTGACTATCGTTCGTAAAAGCAGTAAACTATTATTGAGTCGAAGATCGATGATATTTTTGAATATTCTGACGCCTAAGGTTTCCGCTTTCTGTACGGTATGGCGACGCTAGAAGAATGAACGACTACAATATTCTATAATGTGTTAAAACGCGGGCGGTTCTTGGCTATTATTGTTGGTGTCATATTCGCTGCACGAAGTTGTGATACTTCGTCTCATGGTGTGCTGAAAGCATATACTTCACTCCTTTCACTTTGACGGTGGTCATAACACTGCCGGCTGAAGCTGCTGATAAACCCTCATAAACAAACCTCTGGCGCATTTTGATCCGCGAACGAAACTGAAAATCATGCGGTACAGTACGGTCCCGCAATGCGTAACGATTTACTTCTGGATTCGATATTGTTGAAAATGTCTATATGACCCACTTAATGCGGACATATGAACGGTCGAACAATGAAGACTAACCGGGTAAATGAACCATGTTTACATTGATATGACGAACAATGATATGATATCGGTGTTAATGTTTTGTTTTAAAGACGCTTGACATTCAATCCGATAACGCTGTTTGAAAGGCAATATGTTAATAATACTTCTGATATTTTACGCATGAGCTGTGAATTCTCTTTGTTGATGAATATTGCAATGCTTGATTTCTTTCAGCGTTTGGTTGACATCCATGTTAATGTTTAAATGCTGAACAACGAATACGGTAAATGTTGACGATGCCAGGGTGACATTTTATACGATTTCTCTTCGTGTTCACTCTACAAACAATTGTAACCAATGATCACGCTGATAGTCATGATTGGTGTTCGAATAATCCATAATCCTCACTGCTCATGATCTAAATAACTGAGTTAATACGTTTACCGGCTGCTATTTTATTCGCTGCAATGTTCATCGAAAGCGTTGAGGCGGCACAATTGATGAAAGACGGCTCGTCACCATTCCTTATTTCTGTTGATCCCCGCTGATAATTGCTGGAATATTGCTTCGCGATAACTTTCGATCAATCGTGATAATGTTATAACTTTGGAATACAATCAAACGCTGGAATGAACGACTCTATGTGACAACGGCGGCGGAAAACAACGACAGGCATCACTAACATTATTGAACGGTCGGTATTTGATGAATGACCAAACGGTATCGACCCTGGGCGTTTTAATGAACGACAAACAGCATATCAAAACGGCTTTATTGGTCATCATACATATATCTGCGTTATCATCATGACGAAATTGGGAGCAATAAATAGTAACGAATGGCAACAATTTGGCTTATAATCTTTGAATTGATGAGCGACCAGAAAGTTGATAGCCTCTGTAACTATTCTCTGTCGTTCTGCCTGAGGGCGAAGTGGCGGCAGAAAGCGTGGTATTCAACGAAGTAACGAGAGTTTGCATCCATATCATGTCAGCTCGTCATTGCAGCGGTCGATAATAGGACCGACATTCTATTAGTGATATAATCGGCTGCTGATTTTGCGCTGCGATTCATGGTCCTTTATGTATGTAAAGCAATCTACATGAGAACCGGTATGATGCGCAAAAGACAGACGACAACCTGTTGAATCACATCGTGAAAACTGCGCGATAATCTTCGGTCGGCAACACGGCTCAATACCATGCGCGAGAACATGTCGTAAAGATCGGTCTTCGGTAACGCTATTAGTGAACTATTTGGTGAATTGGTC